GACTAGGTTCGACAGGGCTTGGAGCAACCTGGTCTAGTGGAAGGTGTGCCTGCCTAGGGCAGGGGGTTGGAACTAGATGAGCTTTAATGTCCCTTCCAACCCAAACCATCCTGTAGTTCCGTGATCACAGCAGTTCACGGGGCTCAGGCTCCACACTCCCAGTGTTTCCAGCTCTGAGCACATCCTACAAAGGGCACGTGGACATTTTTGAATGCACAATGCAGAGATGCCTTTAGGCAGATGTCTCATATTGCCACAATGACCTGGGGAGAATATTTTATTTCTTATCCTTAAATTAAATTCATGGGAGTATATATCTAAATATCACTACTGCTAACTTAACAGCAGATTTTTAAGACATCTGAAATGCCTAGAAATGCAGAGAGACCCCCTCAAAAAGGAGGAAAAGCACATAGGTGCCAAAATGCCACAAACTGCACTATAGCCCTGCACATCAAAGCTACCTGAGTGCCTCCAGGAGGCAAATTCAGATCCTTAAAAACAAGTGGGCACCAAGTAGAAATATTTATTCTGCTGCTGAGTCAGGAAAAAGTTAGGAGCTTACTGGACTCAAGAGGTTGGGCAAGGGAAACACACAGTATTGAAAGGAAATGCCCCAAATACCGAAACCAAAGGGGGGGTTTATATACCTCTTCTCCAAAAAATGCCCACCTGCACAGAAGCAAATACATCATCTACCTGGTCCAACTTGCTCAGGCAAGACATAAGGAGATTACTCATCAGCAGTGGGGATGATTTTAGTGCAGAAAGGAAAATTCATAGGTGTGAGCAAGATGTCAACCTCAGTATTATTTATGTCAGCTATAAACAAACTAAATTATGACCTGGCTGAGCAAAACACTTTTGTAAACCAAGGCTTTGAATATTGTGTAGTTTGCATGTTTAACAGGACCAGGCTTTCATCAGGGAGTGGAGGAGAGCTAATAACCCATTGATTTTAAAGCCCATTTAGAAAAGAATGGCCTATACAGATCTGATCACCATGCATTACTTCGTAACATCTAATACCCTGGGCACAAAATAATGCTGAGAGAGGCAAATTGTGGAGCCATTTTTGTCCTGAGAGGGGTTGTGCATGCGGGTGTGGTACAAGAGCTGCTTTGGGCTGGGGCTTAAAGCAAAGTCAGGAGGAGTTCTAAAGAAATGGTCCATGTTCCTCCAGTTATGCCGAGCTCTGCCTCGTTTATCCCCCCACTCAGCTGAGTCCCCCACTCGGCCCTAGATGGGAAATTACTTACACACATGGTTCAGCAAAGTTTGGAAAGCAAGCTGCCCAAAGTTAAGTTCCATTGCCGATTCAATAGTCCTTAACTCTCATTGCACTTTTCCATCTTTGGTCAACAAACACAAGTTTTTCTGGGCTTAAAACTTCCAAATGGGGGGGAGAGTGAGTACATAGCGTGGGCTTTACAGGGCACAAATGCACAGAGCTGTTTCACTTGCAGATTTGAGACTGCTTCGGAAAGATCATCCAAAAGCTAAGAATCATCCATTTCATAGCAGCATCAAGAATCAACAGATTAAAACTCAGCTTGATGGGATATGCAGCATCTTCAGCACTCTCAGACCACATCTCCATCACAAGACTTTCACTGCCTACACTTAAATGACTCCCTGTGAAATAGCCACGCTGCAATACAGCCGCAGGAGCTGCTGCTGCCCTCACACTGCCTGCACTCCACCGGTCTCATCCTCTGCTGACTGGAGTCTTTTAAGGAGTCTCCCGTGGAGGTAAAGGAGCATTTTGTAATGAGGGGGAGGGTGAAAGAAAAACCGTGTTCCCCCACGACTAGCCAGGGCCCATGCTGCAAGAAGGCTGTTTCAGAAGCTGGGAAGTCAAGCAGCCGCTCAACTCGAGTTGTCCACCCCACAGCCAACGTGCAATATGTGGACAGGTCAATCAACAGGATCAGGACGACAACAACCAGCCCACCCCCAAAAGGTGTCCTCTCCTCTACAGGGCACTTTATACCAAGGATTACATTATGTAGTACAAAGAGTCTCAAGCTGGTGGGGTCTAAAGTCCGTGCAAGCCCTCATGGGGATCTCTCTCCATTGACAGACCTTCAGAGATACAGAGCAGGGACCACCAGACAACCCTGTCACACCTGAACCAGGCTGGCAGGGAACACTGCTCTCATCCACAGAGAGAAATACTGTGTGTATATTCCAACTGGTGTTTTCCCGAGGCTCCTGTAAACACTGGATTAGCTGGACAGAGTAATTGGAGGTAGCCCCCACTTCTCTCCCCTCAGCACCACTGCACAGACCAGTTGCCCTGTACTGCCCACACATTCTTGTCTTACAAGATGTGGATGCAAGAGACAGTCTGTCTCACTCATCCTCAGCACAGCTCAAATCCTCGAGAACACCTCCTCGGGAACAAAGACACCAGCAAGCCCAAGGCAGCCCCCACGACGCAAATCCCACTATTTGATGACTCGTCAGACAGCTGGAAGGGAAATTTGTTTCTGGTTTCTGAAGTCCTTTGACAAATTGTGGTGCCCCGAGGCTCAATCCCGCTGCCCGCTGCTGCCCACAGGCAGCAGCGGTGAGGGGACCCCGAGCCCTGCCTGGGCTGTCCCCGCCGAGTTCAGCCCCCCATGGCACTGCCGTTCGTAACAGGGCTCTAAGCAGGCGGTGCTTTGCGCAAGATCCTCTCCTGCCACGAAGCTCGTTACTGCAGAACGCAGCATCATTTTGCTCTCTGCAAACATGCTGCTCCTGGCTTACAGCAGTTTGGGAAAAACTGCAGGGAAATCAGGAACACATAAGTTAATGGTTACGGGGTGCTCGAACAGTTAAAGAACAACGATGTGTTGAACACAATACAGCTATAGATGTTCGGGGGTACAGGTAGAACACAACACCAATACACACGTGAATATGAGTGGCCGTGTGTTCCATCCCCATTGAGAGCTTGACTCTTCCACGTTTTCGCTAACACGAGAGTTTCTCCGGGCTGTTCTGCCTATGATAGCGGGGAGGTTTCTCCCTCTCTGCCCCGCATACACTGCTGATGCCGAGAGGAACGGCGAGGGCCGGCAGCCCTGGCATCGCCGCGCGGCGAGATAACGAAAGGACCAAATGGGACTGGGCTGGGGCTGGGGCAAGGCAGTCGTGGGGCTCTGGTGGGGACAGTGGAGCGGAGGGCGGAGATCCCCCGCATCTTGTCGCCCAGTATAGATTTCCCCGTTGTTTTTTTTTCCTTCCCTGCCAGAGACTTTCCCTCGATCGGTGTTCCAGCTCAGGCCGCACATTCCGGCTGGTGAACGGCACTAGTCGAGCAGCTGCACGGCCCCAGCACCATCACCCCGCTGTGACTGGATTTGGCCCTGCTGTGGGACCTCCACAGCCTCCCCCCGACAAACCAAACCCCGGCTACGACAGGAGCCAGTGCTCTGGTCCTGCTGAGGAAAGAATTGGTCAAGGAAATATTTGCTCCATCCCTCGCCCTGTGCGGCTGCCCGGCCCTAAACCGCCCTGTGCCGCAGCCGGGACCGGGACCGCCGAGCCCAGGAACGGTGTTACACTCCTGCAGCCTCCTGGTGACCGTGGGAGCGGCAGAGCCCCCCCAGTCCTCCACTCGGAAACGCGGCCACGGCCGTGCCGGGTCCTGCCCAGGGCCGGTGGAAACCCGCACGGGCCATGGCTGCTTCCTAAAAATGTCAGTTTTGCAGCTTCCCCCGTTGCTGGAGGCCGGGACACCCGGACCCGAGAACTACGGGAGGTTGTTCTTAAAAAATCCCCCCGCACCCCGGTGCTGGGGGCGGGCACCGGGAGCTGCGGCCGCCGCCGTCCCGCTGCCGGCGCGGTGCGCGCAGTGAAGGCAGCGAAACGAAAACCGCCGGGCCCCGCCGGCAGGAGCGGCGGGACCGCGGGGCAGAATTACTGGGACCCGGCGGGGCAGAATTACCGGGGCCCGGCGGGGCCTCCACCGGCGGAGCCGCGGCCCCGCGCCCCTCCCTCCCCTCGCTCCCACGCGGCGTTGCCGACCGTGTCCCAAACCCGGGGCCGCTCCTGGACGCTTCCCCCCAGCACCGGCGGCGCGGGGAGGGACCGGCAGCATCGCGTACCAGCGGCCTGGTCCCGCTCCGAGCCCGCCGGCCGCCCCGGGCCCACTGCCCGGTCCTCTCGCCGCCCCCGTTCCGGCCTCTCACCTCCGTCTCCGCCGCCCACCCCGCAGCGCCCGGCCCGGTGGGCTCTGCTCGGCTCCCCCCGTCGCGGCGGCAGTCAGAGAGCGGAGAGGCGTTTCTAAAGAAAACGTTTATTTACACATCTCGGCAAGTATAAAGTATTATACATGGTCTGTGTCAACCCCAAATCTTCTTTATTATGAAACATAAGGCGCTTTCTCGAGAGCCGGTGGCGCAGGGAGCAACTGCTGTTTCGGGGCGCTAAAGCTCATCGGCTGGGAAGGTGAGGACAGAACGGCGTGTGGTGCCTGGAAGGAGCCCTTATTACCACGGTGAATAAATTACAGCTGACATTAACTTCACCTGGGACAGATGGGAGCTACCGTTTTTCAGTTTAATAGGGTTTCCTAAGCTAATGAGTCATCACCGGCTCAACCGAGTCCCCTCCGCCAAGTGACAGGGAGGTATTTTTTTTTTACACTATCCTCAGAACAGGAAAAAAAATAGCCTTTTGTTCCAAAGCCAACACAAAATACCTATGTTCAGATTTCGATATAAATAATCGAGGTTTTATATAATTCCATATTAGTAGTGCCCAAAATCTCGATGCATAAATAAATTAAAGTATTAACACTTCTTACAAAAAGTGACATATTTCCCTTCCTAGTGGAACATCGACACAAATATACAAGCGGCTCCGCTCCGCGCCGGCCTCGGGGAAGCGGCTCCGGTCGGTCCCAGTCCCAGCCCCGTGAGCGCCGCTCGCCGCCCCCGCCCCCTGCCCCGTCGGGGGGGAACCGCGGCCCCGGGGCAGGGGGAGCTGCCGGCCGCGCTCCGCGGGCCAGTTCGCTGCGTGCCCGGGCTGCCGGGCTCAAACGAGGGAGGTGACCGGGGGGATCTTGGCACTCTCCTCCTCCCAGGGCTGCAGGTTCTGCAGCGCGAACAGCGATGAGTTGTGCAGGCACAGCGGGTCGGGCTGGATCGACTCGTTCAGCGACTTCTGGAAGGCGTCGTGCTGCAGCTGCAGCATCAGCCGGCTCGCCTGCTGCCGCTCGGCCTCCCGCTCCTCTGCCGTCTGCCGGGGGACACGCTCAGCCCGCGCCCGGGACCCCGCAGAGAGCGACGGGCCCGGGGCCGCGGGACCCAGGCAGGGCGGCCGGCGCATCCCCCGCGGGCAGCGGGGCCGCGTCCTACCGGGGCCGGGAACACCGGGCGGGCGGCCGCCGCTCGACCGCCAACGGAGCGACTCCGGGAGGCGGGAAGCGCCTGTAAACCCGGTGTTTCACAGCAATACCGTTTCCAAATATTCCCCCGTTTTCTCCCAATATTCCCCCGATTTTTTTCGAATTATTTCCCCGTTTCTTCGAACAATTCCCCGTTTTTTCGAATAATCCCTCGTTTTTACGAATAATCCCCCGTTTTCCGAATGGGGGACTATAAAAAAGAAAAATATAAAAATAGGAACAATAATAATTACGGTATTAAAATAATAAAAATTTACCCCCAACCGTTCGGCTGCCGGGAGCCGGCTCCGGGGGCGATCCCGGCCAGGCTCGCGGGGCGGCGGGCGGGGGACGGGGCGGCTCCGGGGGCGCGGGACTCACCGCCACTTGGTGCGCCGGTTCTGGAACCAGGTCTTCACCTGGGCGTCCGTCATCTTGAGGGACTTGGCGAGGGCAGCGCGCTCGGCCGAGGCCAGGTACTTCTGCCGATGGAAGCGCTTCTCCAGCTCGCAGATCTGCACCCGGGAGAAGGATGTCCGCGGCTTCTTGCGCTTCGGCGGAGTCCGGTTCTGGTAGGGATGCCCGATCCGCCGGGTCACCGTGAAGGGCGTCAGCGCCGCTGCCGCTGCCCGGGTGGGAAGCACAGGGATCAGCCCCGCGCCCGCACGGTGCCGGCCGCCCCCCCGGGGCCGCCGCTCTGCCCGTCGGCCGCCCGCGCCCCGCCGGCCCCCGAAGGGACCGCGGCTCCCCGGGGTCCCGCTTCCACCTCTCGTCGAAGGGCTGCGGAGGCGAGTGGGGCCCGGCCGCCCCCCGGGGCGCCCCGCGCTATCCACGCCGTGAGGAGAGCGATTTTTCGGCTCGCTCCGAGCGCGGGGGAGGGAAGCATCCAGCGGCCGCCTTTACTTTTATTCTTATTCGCATTACTATAATTATTTCGTTTTACATTTTTTATCGGCCCTTTCGTTGCTTGTCGGGAGCCGGCTCACCCGCTCCGCCCCGGCGCCTTACCTGTGAACCTGTCCTTGACGAAGCGCCTGCTGCTCTCCATCCAGGGGAAGTTGAGGCTGCCCAGACTGGGCACGGCGGGCATGGTCGGGATGGCGCTGGAGATGGGCGGCGGCACGGCCCCGGGGATGGGCCTGTGCGCCGGCACCCGGATCACGCCGGCCGGCGCCAGGCTGAGGTTCACACTGTACGATCCCGAGTCCTCGAAGGGCGCGGCGATGGCCGGGAAGGGGGCCGGCAGGGCCGGGTAGGGCGCGCCGCCGCGGCCGCCGGGGCCGCCCAGGAAGGTCGCGCCGTCGGGGCCCCGCGGGGGCGGCGGCGGCGGGGGAGCGCTGTCCTGCTCGGGGCTGTTGAGGATCTGGTCGATGCCGAAGCTGATGGGCTCGTGCTGGTGCTGGCCCTGCGCGGGCCCCGGCGGGTCCATCCTCGGCGGGTCCATCCTCGGCCGTGGCCGCTCTGGAGGCGCCGCCGCTCGCGCTGCGCTCGCGGCCCCGGACCCGCCGCGACACCAAACTTTGCGGAGCGCGCGGGCGCGCGCGCAGCCCCGTCCCCGCCCGCGCCCGCCGCGCGCCCCGCGCCGCGTGCGCCCCCGCCGCCGCCATTGGCCGCCCCGCCCGCCCCCCGCGCGCCCATTGGCTGCCGCCGCCCCGCACCGGCCGCGCGCGCGGGCGCGGGGGCGCCGTGACATCACAGCGCGCGCGGACAATGGCCCTGCGCGGGGGGGGACGGGACGGGCCGCACGTCGGGGGTGCACCGCGACCGCCCCGCACCGCCCGGTGGGCCCGCACCGCCCACGGCCCCGCACCACCCACGGCCCCAGTCCGGCCCTGAACCGCGCACCGCCCCGCACTGACCACGGCCCCGCACCGACCACGGCCCTCCAGTGCGCAGCGCCCCGCACAGCACTGACCACGGCCCCGCCCCGCCCGACGGCTCCGCACCGCCCGACGGGCCCGGCTCAGCCCCGGCCTGCCGGAGTCGCGACCCTCCGACGGTCCGCTCCGCGCTGCCCGCCCGAGGCGACCCTGCGCAGCAGGACTCGGTACCGGCCCCCTGAGGCTGCCCAGGCTCGCCAGGCCACTCCAGGCGCCCGCCCCAACGGCAGTGCGGAGCGGCGGGACGAGGCGGTGCCTGGGGCCGGGCCGGGTGTCGCCCGGAGCCTTGCGGGGGTAGATTCCGTTTAGGCTTAATTTGTGGAGCCCGGCGCGGCCGCCGAGCGCGTTTGCAGCCGGTCCCTGACGGCCGAACGGGACTCAAGGCGTTAACAATTAAATAACGCTCAGTGCATTTACTTAGTTCCCTCTTATAAAGGGAAATGAAAACAGGGAATAGAATTTCCCTGTTAATAGAATGTAATGGCATTTGATCAGCACCTGGCAGAGCGAGCCCGGGATGCCGGAGCGGTGACAGGAAGGACTTGATTAGTTTTTAAACCTTAGGATTCAATTACCGCAACGCTCCGAATCGTTTCAGCGGCAGCGAGCGGGACCGACCTGCCGGGCACTGCTTGGAGCCCGCCCGCGGCCGGTGGCATTTGCGGGCCGCGCTGCCCGCGGCTCTTCCCCCGCGGCAGAAGCGGGTCGGGGGTGCCTTTTCCGTGCGCCCCCTGCCTCCCCTGCCCCGCACAGGGCTCGGGGTCCGGCCCCGCGCCGCCCCCGACGGGGCCCGGCGGCCGCAGCGAAACTGCCGCGGCAGTTTCCCGGGGAGTGGCGGAGGCTCGTCCCTGCCCGAGGCCGTCGAGGAGCCTTCCCCGGCTCCCGACATCGAGGGACACGAGCCCCGCCCCGCCCGGCGGTCATTAACACGGCTATTAAACGCCCAGCCCCCCGGGGGAACCGCCCGCTGCCACCCCCGGCCCCGGGCAGCCTAATCGGATTGTCCCCGCTCGGTGCGAGCGGAGCCGCCGCTCCCCGGAGCGGAGCTAATCGGATTGAGGCGATCCCGCAAGCTGGTGCGGGGCCGCACAGCCCCAACGGAGCTGCCGCGGGCGCCCGGCCCTCGGGGCCCCGCTCCGGACGGCCCGGCGGGGCGAGCGGGAGGTGGCGGGAGGGGGCAGAGGGGAAAAGGAGCAGGGGAAAAGGTAAAAAAAAAAAAAAAGGCAATCCGTGGAGGCTAAATAAATAAAGAAAAAAATAAAGTGCCACCCAGTCCTGGATCAGGGCAGGCTTTGTTAGAGAAAATTGCAGCTCGATCTGCATAATGGGAGCTCGGGCTGCCCAAGGCGATCTTTTTATTGCGTGTGTGTCTGCTGTTATCAATTTTGTGAACGATTTCACAGGGAGCCTGGCAGACTTGAGCTGGAATAATATGCAAAGATGAGCTTTGAATAATGAATGATGTGCTTTTAAACCAATTCCAAAGTGTCTGTGATAGTACAATATGAAAAGGGGTGGTAAGTAATAGTATATTTAAAAGGCGCTAGTATGTTTTTATTACTATATTTAAAAAGATATCTATATTATTTTTGTGAAATGGATAATATATCACAGAGTCTTTGATAATCAGCTAAACAATACATTTTTCTTTGGGAAAACTCTCCTGGTTTTACACAGTTAAATATAGAGTATCAGCGTACAGCTCTGTAACGCTCAGCTACCTTATTAAATATTAACGCTATTTTAATATTAGCTTTTAAATTTAATATGTTGACGTTCTGCAGTTTTACTTTAATTATGCTTTATAATTAATAACCCCGGACGTATGGTATCCTTAAATGCAGCTCTCCCGCAGCCGCTTCGTCTTCCTCGCCCCTCCGCGGGCTGGGGGCGTGCAGAGCCCCGCACAGAGCCCCGCACAGCCTCGCACGGCACCGCTTTCTACCCAAAATCCGCTTCCGCTTTGCCAAATGCCGCGGTCTCTGGCTCTTTGCCGGGCTCCGCTCCCTCCCTCCCGGCCCCCACCCGGAGCGAGCGGATCTGCGGCCCCGACGGCACGACCTGGGCCGGAGCCGGGTCCCCAGGTCCTCCTGGCACGGCGCGGTGCTGCGACCCCCAGCAGGGCCAGAGGCCCGCGGGGTGACTGTGGCGTGGAGATGGGCGTGCCCGCCCCAACCTCGGCCACTCTGTGCCATCGGGGAGCCGGACCCAATTAAGGGCTGGCCTGGCCGGGCCCGGGGAGGCAGCAGAACGCCCGGGCAGGCGCAGCTCCCCATCGCAGGGGTGCAGCTGAGTGTAAGGAACCCCATACTCAGCTGGGCTCTGGCCAGGCCCCAGACATGCATAGCAAAGTGTGGCATAGCATAGCCTGGCCTCGGCGTGGCACAGCATGACATGGCATTACCTTTGTATGGAGTGGCACGGAATGGCACAGTACAGCATGGCCTTTGCGTGGCACAGTGTGGCACAGCATGCCAGGAAAACAGCCTGTGAGTGCCACCTGAGCACCGGCTGCGGGTGCGTCTGGCCCAGCACAGGGGGCCGGGCAGCTGCAGCACTCATGGGATGGTGTCTGGTTGGGAGGGGGTGAGCCATGCAGGCAGGAGGAGGCTGGGAAGGGAGGGTGCTGGGAATGTGTGGGAAGGCTGCTGTGGAGTGAGAGGGGGCATTGTCAGTCCTTTAAAACTCTGCATCTTGTACAAAGATTAACTGAGATGTGGTGCTGAGCCCATGGTGCTGGCAGAGAGAAGCTCCATGCAGCCCCACTGCCAGGCTGGGGCATGGCTCCTTTGGCCTGTCAGGGAGCATGGCTGAGTCACTGAGACTGACCGGGGCCAGAGAGCACTGCTCCAGCCACCTGTGAAGGCATGGGGGGACATAGTTAAGCAGGGGAAAAAAAGTAATTAGTGCTGTGTAAGAGGACTGACCACCTCCCTGGCACCAGTGGGCAGAAGAGTTTCCTCTCCAGTTTGTCACTGGGAGTCACTGGGGACAGTGGTGCAGCATCTGTCTCACTCATCCCTGAAACCCAGATTTTCTCCCAGGCCTGACTGCCATGGAGGGGATATGGAGGGGGATGTGCTGCAGCCTGCCACAGCCACCATGTTTGGTTGTGGTGCACACACACACTCCTCAGCCCCAGGAATGTCTTTGGGCTCAAAACACGGAGGACCCTGTAGGGAGGGCGTCCTTGTAGGACTGTGTCCTCAAAGGACCCATATCCTTGCAGAATTCTTCAATGTGCCTGGCAGTGCCCAATGCCACCGTTTGGCTTTTAAAGTGCTTCCTGTAGGATGAGATAATAAAAACACGTGATAGACACTGCTAATCACCCTCTGTGCCCACCCACCACGGCTGCTTGTGCACGGGCTGGGAGGCTGTGCTTGGCTCGAGAGGAGACAACACCACAAAGCCTGGAGCCTGTCCAGTGCACATGCTTTGAACAGCCCTACAGCCTGCAACCACTGTGTTTGTGATGCAGCTGTAGGGGTTAGAGGTGCAAGTTGGCACAGCTGAGTGGTCGTGGTGGTGCCCAGGTCTGCGATGCCCATTGGGCTCATCCTGGGAGAGTGGCAGCATCAAATGTGCCTGAAACAATGCTGTGGAAATACAGGCTCAGGGGCTTCAGTGAGCCCAGGTAGTGAAGAGGCTGGATCACACCTGAAATTGCTGAGCACATTCCACTGCTGCTGAACTGCTGCGCTGGGGCTTTGGTCCAGCCGAGTCTGACTCCCAGTGCTCCAGAGAGCTGTCCCAGTACATCCAATTAGCTGCACTTCTGCATTTCCAGCTCCTCTTGCATCGTCCTTTCCTCAGCACTCAGGCTGTGATGTCCTGGGCCACAACCCCAGCACACTGTCCTGTATGTCCAAGGTCTAGAAGCTCCAGTTCCTGCAATGGCTTTTTCCATCTGGGCCTGGGACCGGCAGTGGTACACAAGGTACTGCCTAACAGCTGGAAGGCAATTACTTGGAGAAAGAGGGGTTTGACCAGCATCTAACCTACAGGTCAGGTCTTCAGAAGCATCTTCATGCTGCCCCACTAGCTGTCACACTGCCTCCTCAAGGCCATGTCAACTCTCAGGTACCAAACTCCTCTGTTGTCCACAGACCCTCCCTAAACACGCAAGAATTCAGGGTTGTGAGCTGGTCTGGCTCCTTGATTGTGCAGGAGGCACCAGCAGCTTTGGGAATGTGCCACCCCACAAGGGCATCACTCATTGCTTTCAGTTTTGTTTTTAACTACAGTGTGACAGAGAACAGCAATATCTTACTGCACAAGAAAGCAGCAGCAGACACTGTGATGTTCCTGCTGTAGCTCCTGTCTTTGGCAGCAGGTCTCGGGGTGGGCAAGGCTGATCCTGTGCTCCACAGCCCTTTCTGAACGTTTATTCCTGCATGAACACAGCATGGTTTTGAGTGATTACACACAATTCGTGTGGAAGTCAGCACAACAGAGGACACAAGTTGCTTTTCAGCTGTAGCCCTGGAAGAAGCATTGTTGTGGAGCTGGCGGGTGACGCTGGTGTTCAGGCTGGAGAGGGACATGG